AGCCGACGCCAGTAACTAGGCTGGATGGAGATGGATTCGACGAAGACGTCATTGAAGTGTTTTTTCTCTGAGCTTTTTTTAAAAAGAAGTGAATAAAAAATTTAGGGTGGCAGCATTGCGTTGTGTACGATAGCTGCGCCCCTGGACGAAATTACTGTTCACTATTGAATATTGGAGCCTGGCCAAATGCACTCGAATGAGAAGCGACTGCCATATAAATTAGGAGGAATAGAACTGTCAAATGAAGTGATCAGGTCGGCAGAAGCGCACGGGATGGAGAAAATCAATTTTATCGGTTACACCTGGTTATGCAGCGTCTCACCGTACCCCCTCCTGTTCGAGAGTATGGTTAATATTTTATCCGTGTTTCCTACTCTATTCGGACGATATTAGTTCCACATGGTGCTGAGTCTATATCTCAAGTTTGGTTTCGAGGAAAACAAACTATTATAGTCTATCCATTCTTAATTGGAACGGCAAAAAAAGTAATATTTCTTGCCTGTGGCCCTTTGTCGCCCAGATAGTTAGTAAACGTGCTTTCAAACGTAGTTGAAGAATAAAGGCTCGGCTAGCTGCACTGACTGAATACAAATTTTTTGTCCGTTTCACAATATTTCTTAGTCAGTGCCGTGTGTTCGTGGGGTTAGGTGACGTAGTGAGTGGTTTTGCAAACCGATTTTTGAAAACTTTTTCAAGAGATCAATTACCCTAACACCAAACTGATATTTTTGCACTCGACGTGCGTTTCGCTAACAAGGTTAGCATCTTCAGGAGAAGCAAATTTGTACTGACTCTAAAGACAAGGGTTAGCTGTTTATATACCTGAAGTCCGATGTGGACTTTGTTTGTTAAATGATGATTATCCTAATTGATTTCTCGGTAATTAACTAGTGGTACCGCTGCCTGTAAATTAATTTGTCAACAATAGCACAAAAAAGCAGATATTGCTGATTTTATGCGAAATCATGACATGGAAATACCCGAAAAGATTTCAACGAAAAAGGTATTACTGGCGACCAGAAAACAACGTAATTTCAAAAAAGAGTATATTATTGATTCGATGTGTGAAACACGTGGTCATATACTCTTACGTTTGCTTCCATAGTATTGTGTGTTCAATCCAATTGAAATGGTTTGGGCCAAATGAAAGAAAACTTGCGGGAATGTAATCAGTCACCGACTGTGGTGAATGAAGTAGGTAATGGTGATGTGTGGGAGAACTGTGTGGCCCACGTTATAAAAGAAGAGAACAAATATTATGTGCAAAGTGTCATAAATCCGCTCGTTATTCAACCCGATGATGATTCCACCTCATCCAAATATAGCGAAGAAGAATTTTGATATTTCTAGCAATTTTGTTGGCCTCTTATTATTTTGTAAATATATGTTTGACGAGAAGTCGGTGTGATTATTTGTGTTTTCATTGTACTTTAGAGTTTTCGACTCGGAAATCAACTACCTTAAATTTCGAAGTTTTTCATAATTACCCATGGT